GGCATGGAGAGGGGGAGCTGCTGAGGACTCTAGATTCATCAACTAAGAAGAGAAGGACTAAGAACTGGTGGCCAAGAGCAGACTTGCAGAATGCGCCCTTTGGAAATGTAAATTATTATAAATGCCTGAGTGGGTTTTTTTTGTTTGTGTGTTTTTTAAAAAGCTAAAGTGGATAGAGAGAAATACTTTTAATTGATGGTATATGGGGGAGGAATTATAATCAATATAATGAAAGAAGTTATATGAATTGTTGAATGTGAAACTGATGATGTGCCCTGTAAACTTTCATTCAATCCATAATAAAAACCTTAAATAAAAATTAAAAAAAAAAGATATTGAACCCAAAGTTGCCGACATCTGCTTCTAGTTGCCTGAAGAATCCTGGAGCTATAATTACTACCACCTGGATTTTACAATAACAATGCCACTCTACATTTGTGTAGTACTTTTAACTATAAAGTCTACATATATAACATATATGTTCACATAAGTTACTCTATTTAATCATGACAAAAATGAGAGGTAAGCAGGACAGATTTCCAAAAATAGATTGCTAAATGAAATTTAGAGCAAACCAAACAGATTTATTTTCCCTGGAACAGTGTTCTTTTTGCTAGCCATGACCAAAAAGGCTTGAAAAATGTCACCAAGTTTATTCCTCTGCTCTAACTTTATGTCTATGAAGCAATAAAGTGGGGGATGAAGGCCTATTTTACTCTCTAGCCCTGGTGTGGCACTGTAGGATAAGAACTGGACTAGTAACCACAAGGTCGGCAGTTCAAACCCATCAGATGCTTCTCAGAAAGCCTATGCAGGGTGGCTATGTGTCAGAACTGACTAGGCGGCACTTAACAACATCTTAAAAAGAAACTTCCAAGAAAGCATGTTACCTCTCTGTCAGATTAGTCTCCTGATCAGTGCTGTTCCATAGCAACGCAATACAAATCATGTATGTATTTTTTAATTTTGTGGTAGTCACATTAGAAAAGGTAAAAAGAAACAGGTGGAATTCATTTTAACAATCTATTTAAAAATAGTATCTAAAAATTGTAGCCCAATATACATAATATTGTCAATTTAGTATCTAATCAATATTAAAACTATTGCCACATTTCACAATCATTTGTTCATACTGTCTCTGAAATCTGGTGTCTATATTATGCTTTCGCCACATCTCGATTAAGACCACATACAGTTCGAGAGCTCAAAAGCCACATCTGATTAGTGGTTACTATATTGGACAAGGCAGCATTAACATTCATTAACATTCCTCCTGCTATCTCTCTCCAAGGCACAAAGTAGTTCTCTATGGACGGTGTGTGTTTGCAGATGAACTATGGAGGCTCAATTTCTGATTCTCTCAATGTTGTACTAAGTAGCTTAGAGCAAGGCTCTGCTAAGACCTCCTACTTCAATCTCCCTTGGGCCTGCTACACAAGGCTACTAAGTTGCCCTTTCACGGTTTAATGAAGAAGCATGTAGAGTTTGAAGAATATGAGAAACTCTTCCTGAGACCCATAGCATGACCAACCATGTACTTTGCCAGGGACTATTTTAGCTTTAGAACTGAATGTTTCATGTCCCAGGAAACCCTTCAGTCCCAGACAAATAGCTGGTTACCCTACTGAAGAGCATCTAATAAAAATAAACAAATAAAAATAGCAAGTAGTATAAGTGAGTATGGGGGGCATCAAAGGAGTGTACCTGATGATTTTGTACATGACTGGGTTGGTAAAAAAGGGTTCATCCAGTTCATTGTGGCCCCACTGCCTGTAGCACAACAAATCAACAATCACATCCTTGCGGAACTGGCGCTGGTATTCAAAAGCCAATCGAGTGGCCCGGACCACTTCTTCTGGGCTGTCTCCATTGACATGGATGATGGCACAGCCTACCAACTTCCCTGAGGTAGAGAAGACCAAGATGAAGGTGGCCAGGTAACCCAGGATGACATTAGCCCACCTCCTGTTAGTCCTGATGCCTGTGTGGAAGGAACTACCCACTCTTGGAGCTTATTTGGTTTGGTTGTTCAGAACCTGTACTTTGGAGTCCAGCTGTCAAAAAAAGAGTTCAAATCCCAGCTCTGTGACTTAGTGTGTGATCTTGGGAGAGTAATGTATTCCATCTCAGTTTCATCTATAAAACTGAGGTAATAGCTTCTACTTAGTGATTATTACATAAAGATTAAATAGATAATACAAATAAGGTGCTTCACAGTGCCTGGTACATAATTGTTGGTGTTGTTAAGTATCAACGAGTCAGTTCTGACTCACAGCGACCCTGAGTTTCCAAGGCTGTAAATCTTTGCAAGAGCAGACAGCCTCATCGTTCTCCTGCTGGTATATAATAGCTAATACTTACTTTTGTTATTATATTTATTATAGTGGTCATAATATATGTATATGGAGGCCTGGGGTGGTACTGCAGGCTAAGCACTGGACCACAAGGTCGATTTGAACCAAAAAGTCAGCAGTTCAAATCCATCAGCACCTCCTCGGAAACCCTATACAGGGTTGCTACAGGTCAGAACCAGCTCGACGGCACTAAGCAACAACATGTGTGTTGTTGTTTTTAAGTGCCATCAAGTCAGTTCCGACCCACAGTGACCCTGTATAGGGTTTCCAAGAGGCAGCTGATGAGCTTGACCCACTGACCTTGCGGTTCAAACTGACTTCACAGTCCAGTGCACTAACCCACAGCACCACACCATAAAATATAGCAAAGATTACTATTATTTCACCTCCTAAAATAAAAGGGTCATAAAGTACATATTCTTCAAAGAGAAGCTCTAGAATAGATGTCCAGTATTTCTATCAGATTGATCACAAAGGCTTCATAGGTTGTTGTTAAGTGCCTTTGAGTAGCTTCTGACTCTTAGTGACCCTGTATAGGGTTTCTGAGGAGTGGCTGGTAAGTTTGAACCACCAACCTTTATACTCAAACCAACCTTGAGATCTAGTGCTTATCCTACAGCACCACACCAGGACTTCAAGGCTTCATATTGTCATTGTTAAGTGTCAATGAGTCGGTTCCAACTCACATAGACAGCCCCCAGAGGTATCTCGTTCAGGGTAAAATAGAACAACTCCTACCACCTAATAATTCTGTAACTTTGTGAAAAGGGAATGGATAATAAAAGCCCTGCCTTTGCACAAGTTGAAACAAGTTGACTTTGATTCTTTACATCATATTTCCAACCAAACTTTTCACCCAAATTTAGTAGTGGAATATATTCTTTTTGACTAAGATCTTGGGCACTTTATGTTTGAACACCCTAATGAAGATCTACTATTGTACAAACTGTGCTGATCTTTGGTTTCTACCAGATTATCTAATTGGTTGCTTAGCAATGTAATATTGTTTTCTCTAGGTTCCATGCTTTTCTCATTTCCTTGGATTTAAAGATCACACTCAGACTTCCAAAGGAATATCAACTTGGCATTGAGTACCAAGAATGTACCACTGAGGTACATTCTTCTCAGTGAATTGGACATTTATCTAGCAATTCCCTGTCTCATTCAGCAACATCGACTGTTCCCTGGGTTACATACCGATATCACTACAGTACAAGGAAGACCTTCCTCTCTCTGCTGGAGTGGTGTAACCCAGCTGGTTATTGACAATCAAATGGACACTCCCACCAATTCTGAAATGTGGGAGGTTGGAGAGCGTAAATGTTTCTGGAACAATTCCTTGACCACAGAAAGAAGCATCACCATGAACCTAAATCATGGGGAAATGGGAGGAAAACAAAGGATTAAGATATTCAGGTTTTCCAATAGGTATACGATGCTTTAAAATACTAAAAGTTATAAAAACAACCACCCTTCATTCCTCCCCTATTCTAAGTTTTGCTGGTTACAAGATTTTCCAGAATAGGTAAACTGATCTCAAAAGCTTCTTTCAAAGATGCTACTCAGTTGTTTTCCTCTAGCCACCACAATTGATCTATCTACATCACATCATCATCTGTTCTCATCACTTCAGCAAACATGCTAACATATTTTATTTAGTATATTACACACAGCAGTGCCATAGAAGGAGTGGCTGTTGGAGGTGCAGAGAGAAAACCAACTCTGGTCAAGTCTCCATGTAAACAGCCTGGGAGACACAAAAGAATTGTGCAGACCACAAATTGTGAGTTCTTTCCCTTCTGCCCCAAGAAAATGTATGTAGCTCACATCACCTAATCCTCACTGGGTGATATGACCACCAGGGACAGAGATGGAACAGCAATGACAAGGTAGTGTGAAATATAAATATATTATGTACAAGTAAAGACAGGTGTGTGGAAAATAAAATGTTAATGATTATGAGGTAATGTCTATAATGTGAGGTGATGTTATTCTTCCAGAACATTCAAAGTCTGCTGAATCAAAATACCATTACAAAACCTGGTAGGCAGAAGGTGTTAGATGAAAAAGAAAACAAGAAGTGAAGCAACTAATGAGTGAACTGTAGATTCCAGAAGACAATATGAACTATACCGATTTTATTCTAAAAGGCTATTATCATAAACCACCAAAATGCTGAACTAAAGAATAGGAAGATTTGAAGCACCCTAACTTAAGGCAACTACTTTAGCTATAAAATTAATAAAATCAAAAGACTGAAATATGAACCAAGAACAAATACTTGGAAGCAGGTTTTTTAAATGCCATTGAATATATCCTTAAATAAAATTGTCATTTCAAAAAGGTAGACTATTTTGGGCTTAGAAAAGGAAACACTTTGTTCATTAAGAACATTTCTAGCCTATACCTTACTATTGCTAGTGTCTGGTGATGCTATGGTTAAAGTGCTCAGTGGATAACAGAAAGGTCAGACGATTCTAACTCATCAGTTGCTCACTGGGAGAAAGATGGGGGCAATCTGCTACTGAAAACATTTACAGCTATGGAAACCCTCTGTACAATATGTTCTCTAGGTGTCAGAAACTACTTGATGGAAATGGGTATAAGTACAACTAGAGTCCCTGAGTGATGCAGATGATTAAAACATTTGACTACCAACTGACAGGTTGGAGGTTCAAGTCCACCCACAGTTGTCTTGTAGGAAGATCCTGGTGCCCTGCTTTCAAGAAATCAGTCACTGAAAACACTATGGTGCACATATTCAGAAGAGGATGTAGACCTAGGGATGTCATTGCTGACATCAGATAGATCTTGGCTAAAAGTAGAGAACACCTGAAAGATGTTTACTTGTGCATTATTGCCTATGCAAAGGCATTGGATTGCGTGCATTATAACAAATTATGGATAATATTGTGAAGAATGGGTATTCCAGAACACATAACTGTGCTCATGAAGAACCTATACAAAGAGCAAGAGGCTGTTGTTAACACAGAACAACGGAAAACTGAGTGGTTTAAAATCAGGAAAGGTGTACGTCAGAATTGTATCCTTTCACTATGTTTATTTAATATGTATGCTGAGCAAATAATCCAAGAAACTGGATTATATGAAGAAGAAAAACATGACATCAGGATTGGAGAAAGGCTCATAACAATCTGTGGTATGTAGATGACTCAACATTGCTTTCTGGAAGCGAAGAGAACTTGAAATATGGATAAAGATCAAAGACTAAAGTTTTCAGTATGAATGGCACCTCAATGTAAGGAAAACCAAAATTCTCATGACCAGTAAATAAACCAGTAAATACAATCCTGATAAAGGGAGAGAAGACTGAAGTTGTCAAAGGCTTCATTTTGCTTGACCCCACCATCAATGTTCATGGAAGCTGCAGTCAAGAACTCAGAGGAAGTATTGAATTAGACAAACCTGTTATAAATGACCTCTTTAAAGAGCTAAAAAGCCAAGATTTCAGTTTGAGGACTAAGGTGCATCTGACCCAAACCATGATATTTTAATCTCATATGCATATGAAAGTTGAACAATGAAGAAGAAAGACTGTAGAAAAATAGGTATATTTGAGTTACAGTGTTGGAGAAAAATACTGAAAGTATCATGGATTGTCAGAAGAACAAACAAATCTTTGTTGGAAGAAGTACAGCCAGAATGCTCTCATATCTTAAGATATGAGAATTCATATCTTGTACTTTGAAAATATTGTTAGGAGAGACTAATCCCTGGAGAAGGACATCATGCTTGATATACTAGAGGGTCAGTGAAAATAGAGGAAGACCTCCAATGAGATGGACTGACACAGTTGCATTAACAATAGGCTCAAACATAACAAGGTGGACACAGGACCATTCCTTCTGTTGTGCATAAGGTCACAGTGAGTTGGAATGGAGGGATGACCCCTAACAACAACAGCATTGTTTATACAATCGATATATTATCTCTGTTAATCCAGTCAACGACCTGGTAAGGTAACCAGACAAGGTAAGAGAGCAAAGGTTCAGAAATCAGATACAACACTTGAGGTCACTGCAATAGCAACAGGGGCAAAAAAAAAATCTGCATATAAGTGGGCCCACAAAGTTCAAAACCTGTGTCATTCAAGGGTTAACTGTATACATGTATATATATATTTTGCATGGATTGGACTAAACCAAAATCCAATCCACTGCCTCTATGTCAATTTCAACTCATAGCAACCCTGTATAGGCTTGCTTCTTCACTGGAGCAGAGACTCACCTTTTTCCTGCAGAGTGGCTGGTGGGTTTGAACTGCCAAACTTACGGTTAGCAGTTGTGCATATCCTACAGTGTCACCGGGGCTCCTTATGAAACCATAAGGACTAGGTGCTGGATGTAATGATGCCTAAGTTCATTGCTTTTTCTGCTTAACCATCGTATTTCCCCTTCCTTCCAAGCACTTGAGGTCCTTCTCTGCGGTCAAGCACCTCACATGCACATATTTTCATTTCATTCTCAGAAACTGAAGAACAGCATAAATTGTTATTTTACTTATGAGGCTCATAGAACCTAAATCATAGAGCCAAGTTCACTGAGGTTGTTGCTGATAAATGCCTCTGAGTCAGTTCTGACTTATAGTAACCCTGTATAGGGTTTCCAAGGAGCGGCTGGTGGGTTTAACTGCCGACCTTTTGGTTAGCAGTCCAGTGCTGATCCTACAGCACAGTAGAAATCAGGGCTTTAAATCAGTCACTCTGGACTGACACTCTACCCCACCACACCAATCCTCTGTTGAGACTTTGCCTTTCCTTTTCAGAGGTGATGTTTGTTGGTAAGTGCTGTGGAGTTGGTTCCAACCCATAGCAACCCTGTAAAGGGTTTCTGAGGACCAACTTAAAATTCAAACTCACTTTGTGATCCAGTGCATTATCCTGCAGCTGTCAGACCAGGACTCCACCCCAGAGATGGAAAACAGAATTTACATTTTGACAAGATGCTGGATCACCTGGGGATCCTATTGAAATGTAAATTCTGACTCAGCTTTTCTGGGACAGAAACACAAATTCTCAGCAGGGGGTCAAACAGGAAAGAACCAATTCAAAGCCCTATAGGACAAGCACTGGACTACAAGGTTGGTTTGAACCACAAGGTCTGCCGTTCAAATTCACCAGTAGGTCCTGAGAAACTCTATACAGGGTTGCTATGAGTCAGAACCAACTCAATGGCACTTAACAACAGCAAGAAGCTTAGCTCCAGAGTCCATATTCTCTTTATCTCACAATACAAATGAAAAGTCCAACCTCACACCTCACAGGGTCAAAGGGTTCCTGAAATCTGAACCCTTTGGTTTTCTAATTAATGAGGTCTCTTATGGGGTAATGATGTAAAAAAGAAAGAAAGAAAAAACAAGCCCTCATGGTGATTGATGGTTCAAACCCACTAGTGGCTCCATGAGAGAAAGATCTGGTAGTCTGCTTTTTGTTGTTGCTCCTTTAAAAAGATGCTGCAGTAGGAGTATTGCTTGTTTGCTATGATAAGAACATGACATCTCCTCACAACTTGCATCATATTTTTATGGTCTTAAGATTCTTGGCACTAAAGTGTGTGTGTGTTTATCATCAGCTCATGTATTCTCTTTCTTAATTCAGAAGAGAAACCACTAGACCATGCCCTATAAAACTTTTTTGTGGGAGTAAGGGACCAAACACAGCTGGGTGATTGTGAGAATTCACTTTCACCAGGTCCAGGACAGAACGAAAATAAAAAGATGAAAAGCAGTATCAGAAATCTTATTGAACGTGATTTGATAGGTTCCACATTCAGAGCTCCCACAAGAAAGTAGAATTGTCAAGGGAAGGTAGAATTCATGATGAATAGTTTTCACCTTGTCCAGACAGGTCTGGTGAAAGGAGATAGGGATAAGATTCTTATGATTCAATAGTGAATCATTGTTATCATGACTAATTGCTACTATCACAACTGCAAAGGTAGAAGTTTAGTAACAAAAAGTGGGGAGTAGTTAATCTTACAGTTCTGGGACAGAGGACCCTAGGACCATCAAGGGAGAAGAGCACGAGCAGAATGTGGAACCCTATCCAGAGAAGCCAGAATGGCAGAAATGATGACATGGAGAGATAGAGCAGGTGATGATTCTGGACTCATGGAAAGAGAAAGGCTGTATGCTGGTGGCCAGGAGGCAGGCTTGCAGAATGTGCTCTTTGATTTTTTAAATTATTATACATTCCTCAGTGTTTTGGTGTACATCCTACCACCCCCACTACCCCTCCCCCACCTCCACCCCCCCAAAAAAAACAGAGGGAACAGAAGCAAATACTGTTGAATGATGATGCATGGAGTAGATTGCCATCATTGCAATGAAATGATGAGTGTAAAACTGATGTTCTCCCATGTAAACTCTCACTAAGTTCACAATTAAAAAACAAAACAAAAACAAACAGAGGGAATAGAAGCAAATACTGTTGAATGATGATGCACAGAGGAGATTCTAATTACTGTAATGAAACAATGAGTATAAAACCAATGTTCTCCCATGTAAACTATCACTCAATTCACAATAAACATGTAAAAAAAAGAAAGTAGAATTGTATTTGGGAGCAAAAAAAAAAAGCAACACATGAATAGGCATAGAACCAAACTAAACCCACTGCCATTGAGTTGATTGTGACTCACAGTGACATAGTAGACTCATAGGACAAAGCAGAACTGCCTCATGGGGCTCACAAGGTTATGAACCTGTATGGAAGCAGACTGCCTCATCGTTCTCCTGCAGAGCGGCTGAGGATTCAAACCACTGACTTTCAGTTACCAGCCCAATGCTTAACTCACTACACCACCAGGTCCCTTGTCATAGCAGAGGAAAGTATAATTAGAACACAAAATAGAAAAAGGAGGGCAATCAGTTTTCATACCTTTAAAGGAAAGTATCACTTTTACCCCTTCAGAAGTTGACATTAAAATCTGCTTAATGTACTGGGTAAATACAATTGACTAAAATATTTCAGATTATCATGAAGTAAGTCAATTGCAAGGTAAAGAGAATGTCTAGCTAATGATTTGAAGATTTTTGTTATGAAATACTATATCATAATCAAATCCAATCATTGACTTTCTTCAAAGTTTCTGGCCCATGAAAAATTAACATGAATAAGATGATGATGTTGTTATCTGTATACATAGCAGATTATTCTAAGTATTACCTTGAATATTTATCTTTTTCTGTTAGGTGTGATGAGTCAGTCACTGATATCCAGGGCAGATTGTCCCCAGTAGTGAAGGGTTCATATTTAAATGAGTATCTACTCAAAGAAGAGTATGTGACCCACAGTCCAAACTTCTAAAAGATTCTGTGAGTTACCAAAATCTGGGGGTTCAGAGTAAGGGCTACATATTCTTTATATTGTTTGCCTTGATGTCAAAAACTTTCATCTTAAAAGAAACAAGCAAATGAAACCCACACTTAGTGACCTTGTTAGATACATGAATATTATGTGTTTCCTAGTGGGGTATACTTTCAGAGCACCAATGAGATTCATCCTCTTAGAAGTAACAGGTATGTCAGTCAATATGGCCATAATTCATCCATGACTCAAGAAAGAAAAACACAGCAAGAAGCCCATCTTGGGACTAGACATCAACTCTACTATTAATTTTTAAAACGATCCATAATCTTTTCTCAAATGTTCATGTTGACTGTCTATACTCTTCTTTTAGACCTACTAATCTGGATATTCCTGTTTCCTGGTTTTTCCATCTCTGGCTTCACTCTCTGCAGTTAGAAGTACCTGTAAGCAAATAACTTTGTCCCCAGGCTGAGCTGAACTGTCTGGAGAGTAGTCCCCATCCTGTCGAGACTGCTGCCTTCCACGAGTTTTCCCGACAGCCACAGGGTTAACAGCTTCCAGGTGTGAGGGATTAGGCAGCATTGTCACATGGAGGGGGTGGTGTGCGCCAAAGTCCAGGTCAACAGAGGAGGTCAGGTGAGACAGGACATCTCCAGTGGCTGAGACATTTTCTGGAAATTCACTTAAGCCTCGCATTTTACGGAACATCAGCTAACAAGAATAGATATTAAAAAATAATAATAAAATAAGGACTATTAACAACAACAAATGCTAGGAAAGAGGTGGTTAGTTCAAATCATACAATAAAAAAAACCCACAAAAGTGCTTTTACAACTATCTTTACTGGTTACTGTCTAATCAATCAATCTGGACTCACGGCAAACACATATCCACGTATGAAGCACTGCTTCATAGGGTTTTCAATGGCTTATGTTTTAGAAGTAGACCACCAGCTCTTTCTTCCAAGGTGTCTCTGGGTGGACTTGAACCTCCAACCTGTCAGTTAACAGCTGAATATGATAGCTACATGCACCACCCAGAAACTCCTCTTCATTATTATAAGCATTATCTAAAGATAAACACAAACTTCTAACACTGTTCAATTTGTGTAGAATTATTTACAAATCCTCAAAATGGAATGAAGTCCAACATTAAGAGAGCTCTTGTTGTTGTTGTTAAGTGCCGTTGAGTAGGTATAGTGACCCTGTACTGGGTTTCTGAGGTGCAGCTGGTGAGTTTGAATTGTCAACCTTGTAGTCCAGTGCTTATCCTACAGTGCCACATAGGGTTCCAAGAGAGATCTAGCATGTGTCATAATGCAAATCTTAAATTATCTCTAACTTGCAATAAGAAAAATCATTTAAGAATGCTGTATCAATCTCTTTAAAGTTAGAGAGGAAAATAATAGAATGGAATTTAACACTTAATCCTCTTTGGACATGCATGGTGAAGTATACTGGTTAGCTCAAGACAGATATGATGAACTATGGTATCAAATTCACAAAGGACTTTCTGTATTCATTCTTTCACTTCATTTTCACAATCTTCTCTGAGACAGATGTTTTCATCTCATTTACAATTGACAAACTTTTTTCCTCTAAATTACCCAAATTATTTAAATGACCAATCAGTTTCTTACTGACCTAGTTGCAAATATGAACATACATACTAATAATGTGTGAGTACATACATGTCTCTCACAAATATAATAATCTATAGTAATTTCTGCATCTTATTTTGGCCTAGAATAGTTATAAAAAGAATTTTGGTTTGAGAATTTCAGCATGTATTTCAGTTGTTGTTGTTGTGATGTGCCATGGGGCCAGTTCTGACTCACAGTAACCCTGTACAGGGTTTCTAAGGCTGTAAATCTTTACGGGAACAGAAATCCTCATCTTTCTCCTGCAGAACAGCTAGTAGTTTCAAACTGCTGATCGTGAGGTTCGCAGCCCGAATTGTGACCACTATGTTACCAGAGCTCCTTATGTATTTCAGTACATAACCACAATTGTCAGTTTTTTTGTTCTACTGTATTCTATATCTCCTAAGGTACTTTGTCTTTTAGAAACTGATTATCAACCTCTTATGGAAGTTCTGAGCCCTGGTATGGTGCTGTAGGATATACATCAGAGTGCTAACTACTAGGCTGACAGCACAAACCCACCAGCCACTCTCAGAAACCCTGTATAGGACCGCTACAAGTAGGAACTGATTTGATGTAACACACAACAAGAAGGAGGTCCTTGTTGAGGTGCTTGGTTGCTAATCCACAGGTTATAATTTTGTGTCCATCCAGAGGCACTTTGAAGAAAGTCCTGGTGATCTACTTCCAAAACATTACTTATTGAAAACCCTATGGAACACAGTTCTACTCTGATATATATAGGGTCACCATGAGTCAGAATTGACTCGATAGAAACTGGTTTTGTTTTATTTTGTTTTGCTTCAATTCAGAAAAACTGAAGTATGTGTAGTAATGCAAGTCTGGTCCTTAGACATGACGCCACATATATTTTGTAAAGGTTTTAAGGCTAACACATCCTTCCACCGACCTTGTCCACTCTGTTTAACTTTGACAAGTCCTTAAAACATTTGTAGTTAATTTTAATCTCCTGCCCTACAATACTAGTGAAGTTAACCCATGCATATTGGTTACAATTAAATGTCAGGTCTCACTGATGTTCCCTGGTATAAAATCTTCATTCCTGAGTATCAAGTGTTTTGAGACATTTGCAAAGCAGCTGAGTTGAACTGAGTGGGAATACCAAGATTCCATTATTTATAAAAGCATTCACTGGAGTGATCTCTTGAGCAAAAAATGTCTTACTAGTTTTAGTAAATCTGTTAACTATAAACTCTGTAACTAAAGGGACCCAAGATTTATTGGGGAGTCCTGGTGTAGCTCTGTAGAATAAGCACTGGACTAACCACAAGGTCAGCGGTTCAAACCCACCAGCCACTCCTTAGAAACCCTGCGCAGGGTCACCATGGGTCAGAACCGACTCCATTGCACATAACAACAACAACCTGACTTCTTGGAAGGGTAAGAATTGCACAGATCTTTGTGCTCATTTCAACAATTTTTATTAAATAAGAAAATATGCATCAGATAACAGGATTCATCGATTGGATATTCCTTGAAAATAAAATTAATCTTTAATTCTTAAATGGAAAGAATTCATGTAAGAGAATATGCAGAAAATCAACTAAATACCATTTTGATCCAAAACATAAAACCATGAAGACCAAATCCATTGCCACTAAGTCAATTCCAACTCACAGTAACCCTATAAGACAGGGTAAAACTATCCCATAGGGTTTCCAAGGCTATAAATCTTTACAGGAGCAGACCGCTACATCTTTCTGGTAGCAGTGAATTCAAATTACCAACCTTTTGGTTAGCAGTTCAGTGCTTTAACCATTGTGCCAGCAAGCCTCCTTATGCAAAGCATTGTTGTTAAGTGCTGTCGAGTCAGTCCTGACTCATAGAGATCCTGTATAGGATTTCTAAGGATCGACTGATGGGTTTGAACTGCTGACCTTGTCGTTAGCAGTACAGTGCTTATCCTACAGCGTCACACCAGAACTCCATCTAAAACATTAGGTTCTATCAAGCTACTTCATCTGCTTAGTTGGCTTTCCAAAAGGAAGAATGATCATCATTGTTATTCTGAAACAATCATTGCTCGGGAGAAACAAAAACTGCTATTGAGAAACATGGGAAATGCCTTACCTCTGGTGGGAACTGGAGGAGACCTGTCAATAAATTAAGCCTCCCTCTGTGGGGCATCCCAATAATAACATCGGTTATCCCACTGTAGGCTGACAGTTTCAGCAATTCATGGAAAAAGCCCATCATGCTTTCAGCCCCTTCACCTCCATAGCGCTTCACAGTGGCGAATTTAGTGGCCAAAAAGTGGTCAAACTCCTATGGAATATCACAACAGAAACATTAGTTATGAGAAGATAACTGACTACTCTGGTGAAAGACAGACAAGTTTATGTATTTTGTAAAACGATGCCACACTACTTCAAGTGACTGGAGTGGTGGCCCTTCGTTCTGTACCACAAAGATGGATATAAGACTATTGAATACAGTAAGAAAAACATTGTAGAGGGCACTAAGCAAAACCAGGATAACAACCTGAAGGGTAGAATAATTTACTCAAAAAGGGACCCCCTTAGAATGCATTTTTTCCTCAAGTTCAAACTCACCAGATACCGTTCTGGTAGGATTCTGGCCTTAGATTCTATTGCCTCCATTTTAGTTCAGGACTCTACTGTGCTATTTAATCTAAGTCACAAACTATACAACTTGGAAATAGGTTCTCATCATCTAAGAACGCCTGAATCCTGGCCATATTCCTGTCAGAAATTGGGTTCCATTCATTTTTGTTGACAGCCTCTCTTATGCACAGTTCTTTTGATTACTTGAAGTAATAAAAAGTGAAACAGGATCTTAAGGATTTTATAATATTCTGTAGAATTAATAGGTAAATGCATAAAAGGTGTTTTGACTGAGAACCAATAGCTCAGTTGTTTGAGGTTCTATTCCTTTCTTTTTTAGGATAAAGTGGTGTGTATATTTATTACAGTGTCTGCTTTGTTGATGGAATGGTGGGAATAAGTTCAAAGAGTTAGTGCCTTAATTTCCTTTCTTCAATATTTATATCTTTATAGAAAATGATCTGTTCATCAATATTGGCTGCTACTTTTATACCTGAGATTCTAACATTAGTTTTGACAGATGTTTTCGCTCTTCTGTGGTAAATGTCTCTTTTTTCAGCTCCTCAAACCGCTTGGCAAACCAGTCTTTTTCCTCCTGGTTCTGAAGTTGGGAGGTTTCAATAGATATTTGTCCACAGTATATTTGGTTGAGATAGGCTAATACTTCCTCAAGAGAGGCTTCTTCCTTCCCCATACTCAATAATCCTATGAATGGAATCAAAGGGATCATTTTAAAGAATAACCTACCATGTAGAGAACAAATTATAGAGCATACCAAAATAATAGTTTCCATTCTGAGAATTCCATTCTTAATAACTTGGGTCATCATCAATGCTTATATTTTTTTTTTCTAAAGAAAAAAACAAATATGGTGAGAGACCATAAAGTAATAAAATTAGAAAGGGAAAAAAATCTTTTTTATTTTAACAAAAACAGATCATGATGTCTTATGCCAAGTTTTAATTCTACAGTACTAGTAATTCCAAACTACAATTTGAAGCCTATGTTTATCTGTTTAATAGCTAAAAATCATTTATTCTACCTTTAGCTGAAATACTTACCTATCAAAATATTCTAATCTAGTTAATAGCTACATAACTATGTCTATTATTGAACAATTTATTTCAGTGTGAATTTAAAAATAAATTAATATCAAAGCAACATTTTAAGGAAAAGGAAATCTGTCTGACTCTCAGGCAAACAAAGGGAAGGGTGGTATGATAGTTGGTTAGCTCAGCACTAAATCAATCATTGGTCATCAGTCACTCCCCTAACCCTACAACATGGACCTAACAAAACCACACTTACTCTATGGTGCTTATGGCTTCTAACAATAAATGTTAGCTCTTTGGTACTGATTGTAAAAACTGCTTTGAATTTTTCATATTTCCTGTTATTTGTAGAAATTACATGTACTTAAAATACCTCTAAGAAAGGGAATATATAGATAACTTAGTTCATCCAATCATCAGATTTATAGGGTCCATATAGTGTAGTGGTTATGAATCGGGCTGCTAACTGCAAGGTCAGCAGTTTGAAATTATCAGCCATTCTGCAAAAGAAAGATGAGACTTTCTGCCCCATAAAGATTTACAGCCTGGGGAACCCTGTACAGGGTCGCTATGTGTCAGAACTGACTCCACGGCACATAACCACCATATGTCAGGAAGTGTGTTGGCATTGAGTGTACAAACATGACTAAGAGAAAGTCTTTTCCCTCAAGGAAAATCACAGACTTATGGGGGGAGAAAGTCTTAAAGACATATAACAGTATAACGCCACATGGACTGGTGGTTTCTTCCAGTAAGAAGAATGTAAATTGAGGTAAGTAACTTCCTGTTTCAAGGAGCTCTGGTAGCGTAGTGGTTATGAATCAGGCTGCAAACCTTAAGGTCAGCGGTTTGAAACTACCAACCGCTCCGCAGGAGAAAGATGAGGCTTTCTACTCCCGTAAAGATTTACACCCTCGGAAACCCTGTACCAGGGTCGCTATGGGTCGGAACCGACTCGACGGCACTTAACAACAACAACTTCCTGTTTTATCCAAATGCTGAATGAAATTTTTGTTATTAAATGCCCTCCAGATGGTTCTGACTCACAGCAACCCTGTATAGGGTTTCCAAGGAGCAGTTGGTAGTTTTGAACTACTAACCTTGTGGTTAGCAGTCAAGTGCTTACCCTATAGTGCCACACCCAGATTCTCAAATGCTGAATGAAGGGTTTGAACATATTTTTAGGGTATGGTGTTATTGTGATATCAGATTAAGTTTTGTTAAATGTGCTATTGTTGAAAGTTGTGGATAGTAAAATGAGAGTGCAAATGAGGGAATATATTGAACACTACCTTGGCAAGTGCTGGGAACCTCAGCTTCACAAAGCAGGATCTCACCCCTTGAAAATGATCCCATGAGAGAGATGAAAAAGAAAGTCTAAAAGGCAGAAAAGGGAAAACAGGAAAGAGTAGTGTTATGGAAACCAAGACTATCCAAAGTCTTCTCTAAGGCTGTGGAAGGTTATGTGAGAGATGGAGAAGAGAGTGGGATGGGCAGACAAGAGTTCTTAGAATCAAAGGAGAATGTTCTTGAATGTGAGTGTGGAATAGTTCAAATGCAAAAGGGCAGCAGGGCAGAGAGGTAATTTCAAACAAAAGAAAAAAAATCAATAAGTATGGTCAGCAAGAGGTGTGAACACACTCCTCCCACGGTCTGACAAAAATCACAGTCAAAAGTGGAAGGAAAGTATTTCTTATAGGGAACCAAAGAAGGAAAATGATCAGTAGTTGTTTGTAATGTCACCTTAAAAAAGTCAAATAAGGACTAAAATGTTCTATTGGATTTACCAATTAAATGGACCAGTGAAGTCTGCAAGAAAAACTTCCAAAGAGCAATAAAGGCAAAGGGCAGACTGAAGTGGGTATAATAGTAAACTGGAGGTAAGGAAATAGGAACCATTTCCATAGGCTTTTCCAGAACCTTAGCTAGAAAAGAAGAAATCTAAGGTAGTAGTTATGTGGGGTGAGGAAGAAGATGAACAATGGTTATTAAAGATGTAAAAACCTTAACTTTCTTTATGTGCTGAAAAGAAGCCAGTAGAGAAGTTGAAGATCTGGAAAAAGAAGAGATAATTCATAACTGAGATCCCAGAGAGACACCTATAAATTGGTAGAAGGATAACCAGGAATAAGCTAAGAAATGCTTCTTTCCTCAAGAAAGGGAACACAGAGAGTTGTGGTTAGATCTAGAATTAGATAACTGTAAGACAGCAAAGCAGATTCCTATCAATGAAGTAGGAGGATGAGGGTGAATGGCATAGACATCATTTTAAGTGGGCAGAAGGGATATGGATATTTTAAGATGAGTCTTAAAGGAGATGACCAAGAATTAGCTAAAGGACTGCTGAGTGACATCAAGAGAATAGGATTGACTGAAATCATGAACTTGGAGTGGAAATATGGTTGCACAATTCAGTCATGCTTAATTCACTAAAAGGCCTAAAGAAAAATGGTATTGTTGTACTGACACAGTTGGAAATTTGAAGAACAAATGCAGCAGAAGATAAGGTGACAAGAAATTTGAGGATGGTAGCGAAAGTGATTAAAATGAAGCGTCTTATATTAGGAAGCATGGAAGAAAAAGTGAGAAAGGAATGAGTAACTGAGAAAAACTGGAGACACAAAAGAACCAGGGGTCAGATAGAGCTCAAAGCTCAATGCTAGTGGGCCTAATAAGGTAAAATAGGTGGAAGGATGAATTGCTTACAGTAAAAGTGTTAACTACTGAAATTAAGATGGCAGAGGTGACATGCAGGTGATGACCTTAGACTAAAGAAAACCACAGTGGTAGACTGCATTGCTAGAAGGTTTGCTGATGTGGATGTTCAAGTCTCCAAAGTAGTGGCAGGTTGTCATGAAGAGGAAGATTGTGAGTCAGATACTGGAGGTCAGTAGTTGCGGCAGTAAGGCAAAAGAAGGTAGAGCTGAATTGTACAGGTGGAGGAATTTCTCCTAAAAAATAAAGGTAAGTAACTATGTAGGATTTCCTGTGTCCTTCTGCCATCTTGAAACTTGAAAATAATATCGGAGAGAGAAAACAGGCAGCTTCGACTTGAAAGCTACAAAGGAATCAGAAACCTGAAAAAAAAACCAAAACCCTTAAGATTACAGTTAAAAACATTGATGGAATATTGTATAAATATGGGAGTCAGGAGTGTGCAACGGGGGTTCCTAAGAACAGAGTGAAGAGATGAGGCAGAGAACAGTGGAAGGAAGATGAAATAAAGGAGAATCTTAGGAGAAGTTCAGATATGACAGATGACCAAGGGCTTAACATTTTGGACAGTGACTGAGATAACATATGCACACCCAATCTTAATTCCAGCTGTCTTGTGACATTGTCAGTATATATAAACTTTAAACTTTTCATTCAGTTGTAGTGCGCAACATAAAACATTTCATAAATCACAAAATGTCTTCACATACATTTTCATTTTGGCAGAGTTTTATTTCTCAGAGACTGAATATTTCAAAAATAGCCCCAACTCCAAATCCCATCCAACTCCAATTCCCATCCCACATGTTCTTCCAGAACCTTGACACCCCCACCAAGAACCTAGGCAGCCTTTGTAACTGCCTTGATTAGTAGAGTTTGGCAGAAGTGACACCATGTGACCCCCAAGGCTCCCTCTCTAGACACACACAGACTTTTGGGGTTCTGAGTTAACATATAAGAAGTCTGGATCCTCTGAAGCCAAATAAGCTCTAGAAACAATGTGGAGAGACTACACTGACAGAGACTGAAATGCCCAAGGAAGTGAATCACAGATCCCTGCTCTTTGCATCACAGACTCCAGACAGGTGAGTGACTGAATCTTCTGATGACCCCCACCCGACCATTCTGACTGCAAACTCATGAGTGACCCCAATTGATAATGACCTATCAGGGCCCAATCAATCCCCAGAACCACAAGAGATAAAAAAGTAAATGCTGTCATTTTAAAGACACAATATTTGGCTTATAAATAAACTTATAAACAATAGACAGAATATTACTAATTGACACACTATCAGAATTTGACATTTCCAAGGTAAATTATTTCCAATTAATCACATGAGATAGGAGGACCCCAAGATCATGACTTGTGATCTAGGCCCAATTTTTTTTTTTTTAACTTCTCAGATGGGAAAAAATGGAATGCTACGGGCAAGAACACAGGATAAATTAGAAAGCACAGTTTTGAAAACAGTCAGACCTGAGTTGTCATCATTTCACCTCTGCCACATTCTAGCTACAAGTTACTTAAACTCTCAGTGTCTCCATTAAGATGGCAATAACAACTTTGGTGGGTGGCTGTAAGAATGTATTGACAAAGTGTCTGGCACATGTTGCTATTGTTGGGTGCCAGAAAGTCAATTTCAACTCAATGACACCATGTAACAGAATGGAACTGTTCCATGGGGTTTTTTCTAGGCTGTAATCTGTATGGAAGTGGATTGTTGGTCTTTCTCCTATGGAGCTACTGGGTGGGTTTGAACTGATAACCTTTTACTTAGCAGTCAAGCACTTAACCATTGAACCACCAGGGCTCATCTGGCTTATATGGAAGCTGAATAAGTTTTTGAACACAGGAAACAAGCCCTCTCAGAAGACCATTCGAGAGCTTCAAGACTCCTCCGTGAGAGCAGTTAAAACATATTCCTTGCTGTCTCCTCACATCACATGGAAGTCTCACCTCTGGCTAGCAAGCAGTTTCTTCAAGAAGAGAGAATGGAGTCTGTTACAAATTGAATTGTACCTACCCAAAAGACATGTTGAACTCCTAACCCCTGGTACCTGTGAGGATGGCTGTGTTTGGAAATGGGGCCTTTGAAGATGCTGTCAGTTAACACAATGACCACGGGAGAGTATGGTGGGTGCTAATCCTATAGGAGTGGTGCCCTTATAAGGGAGAAGGCACCACAGAGGCAGAGATTAGAATTAAACTGCAGCTACATATAAACCAATGAGCCTGAGGCTACTAGAAGTAGACAGATATCAAATGATCATCCCCTACGGTCTTTAGAAAGACCATGGTCCTGTTAGCATTCTGGATTTCAACTTCTCACTTCCAGAAATGTGAGAGAATACATTTTTGTTACATATAAGCAATCCATTTTCTGGTACTTTATTCTGACAGCCCCGAGATATTAATATAGATCCTCACTTCCTGTGGGCAGTTCTCTGTTTCCACTATGGTTGTGAATGAACTTTACCTGTGGTACTAAAGGGTCCCTGAAGGGTCTGCACAAGAGCTTGGATTTCAGGCACGTCCTCCAGCAGGGCTTGTCCGGTAAAGAGGGGATTTATTTTGGCAGCTTTATGACCATGTTCACAATATACCATCACCAATCTGGCAAGGCCATGATCAACTAATTAGGGAAAAATACAACAATACAAACAGTTTAAGAAATGCTTTCAAGTGGCAAAATCAGCTTTTGAAAGAAATGTGGATATAAACATTTTTCATGCATTGCTCCTAATCACCACATTCAGGTTTAAAGACTATCAGAATCTAGATAAACACATATATAGTCTTAAATTTATCTCATGATAGCTAAAGCTACTGCAAGGGGGGTTAAAAAAGGAACTAGAACTGAGTGTTGTTGTTGTAAAGTGCAGTCGAGTCAGTTCCGACCCACAGCAACCCTGAATAGGGTTATCCGAGAAGCAGCTGGTAAGCTTGAACCACCAACCTTGCAGTTCAAACGGCTTTGCATTCTGGCGAATTAACCCACAGTGCCACACCAGGGCTCCAGAACTGAGTACACAGATGTAAAAATAGCTAAGCAGATGGATAGGCATTAGAAGGGAAAACCCCCCAAACTGGAAAGAACTGCTAAAATATTGAGATTATAGATAAATATGGCTCTTTTTTTTGGTCCCCGAAATGTCTGAAGTATTTTCATATTGATATCTTACATAAAAATGAAAATTTGTAGATAGAACTACACAATCAATGTTATATTTCTTTACTTAATTCTTAAAGATCCCAGGTACATAGTTATTTCATAATTCACAAAAATCTTAGACTAGGAAAAGTTATTAAGAGATGATCTTGTCACATAATGCAAAAAAAAAGAGTCCCCTTCATAAAACCCCAGAGGAGTGGCAGCTTGGTCTCCAAGTAAATGAAAATCATTATCCTATTATCTTTCAATAACCCAATCCTGTCTTAGACTCCTTTATTTTGTGCCAAAAGCTTTCTTCCCTTTTCCATGTTCATCCTCAGCAGCCTTACATAAACTAACCACAAACTCCTCAAGACATAGAAGATCTATTATTGAGGGTATATATTTCAGGGAAAATATTTTTTAACTTTTTGTTGTGAATTAAGTGAAGTTTTACAGAACAGATCATAAGTCTCATATTCAACAAAACATACACTTCAGATCATTACAATGATCGCAAACTCTTCCATATTAACAGTATTTACTTCTATTCACTTTAACTACAGCACTTAACCCACTGTACCACCAGTGCGCCTATATATGAATAAATAAACTGAACACATGACAGTGATTGGAGTCCTAGTCTGGTGCTGTAGGATAAGCACTGGACAGCAGGTCGGTTTGAGCCATAAGGCTGGTGGTTCAAACCTACCAGCCGCTCTTTGGAAACCCCATACGGTGTTGGAACCAATGGCCGTTAGCAACAGCAACAAACAACACTATCCCTGAGTATAGAAATTCCTGGTTTGTGTCCCTTTTGCTTGTTGAGTTTTCTTCATTCTCCACAGTAATATGTATAGTTGAGCTCCTTTGATACAGCCAGTTAGCTGACTTGCTTTGGATTCGTGTTTTCTCTAGAACACCTGGCACGCCTGCCCTTCCCAGCTGAAGAATCATATGGTTATGTATGTATGAGGGGGCTTCAAAAGGTGTGTGGAAAATGGAATTGAAAGATAATACGAAAAAAAAAAGATAATAGAATTTTTCCAGGAACTTTTTGAATCCCTTTCATATGTTATATTTGTTACTCTGAGTCCTGATGTAGCACTGTAGGATAAGCACTGGACTGCTAGCCCACAAGGCTGGCAGTTCAAACCCACCAGCCGCTTTTTGGAACCTACAACTCAATGGCACTTACCAACAATACAAGCTGTGGAAGGAAAAGCAAGATATTGGGGGAGAAATACAAAAAATGGAGAGATATTTTGGAAGCAGACTGCTTTCATAGGTTCTTTTCATTTTAAAGATTTGCATATACATAAACAAAAACAAACATACATTTAATTTAAAATAAAATCCTTAAATCATCTATCATTTCTTTAGGATACTCTGTTGTTTGTTGTTATTGCGTGCCATCGAGTTGTTTCCGACTCTCAGCACCCTGCAGGACAGAGTAGAGCTGCTCCACAGGTTTCCTAGGCGACGCGTCATCTTGACAAGAACAGATCATCTAGTTTTCCTCCAATGGAGCTGCTGGGTAGGGTGAAACCACAAAACTTTTGGTTATCAGCCGAGCACTTAACCGCTGTACCTCCAGGGCTCTCTCTGTTCTTTAATGTTTGTTTGTTTGTTTGTTTGTTTGTTTGTTTGTTTTAATTAACTGGCCAAGTTGCAGTTTCAAATTCTTTGAAAAAAAAAAAAAAATGCTTTGGCTGTGTTATTTTTTTCCAGCAAATAATGAAATTACAATACAAAAGGGTGATATGATAGCAATAGAATGAATATCAAAACCCAATCTCACTGCTGTCGAGTAGAACTGCCCCATATGGTGTCCACAGCTATAAATCTTTACCAAAGCACACTGCCATAACTTTCTCCCCTAAAGGGGCTGGTGTGTTCAAATGGCAGACCATATGGTTAGCAACCACGTGCTTTACCAGTGCACCAAAAGGGCTCTTTGTAAAATAAATGTCTTCTTTAAAAAAAAAGAAAAAAACTTCCTATTAAGAGATATCTTTAAGCTGCAAAGGCCCAACTCCTAGTCTGCAGCTGCAGCAATTGTTGTTGTCAGGTGCCATCGAGTCGGAACTGATTCATAGCAACCCCATGCACAGAAGAACAAAACAATGTCCAATCCTGGGCCAACCTCACTACCGCTGCCACACTTGACGCCATCAATAATGCCACCTGGCTGATCCATCTCATTGGGGGTCTTCCTCTTTTTCTCTGTCTCTCCATCTTACCCAGCATGACATCCTTCTCCAGCAACTGTTCCCTCCTGACAATATGTCCAAAGTATGAGAGACGGAGCTTAGCCATCCTGGCCTCCATGAAGCACTCTGGCTGCACTTCTTGCAAAACAGCAATTAGGAAGGAAGAAATAGTCTGGAAGGAGCACAGGGAATCACTGGGAGTAATGGAAAACTCTGTAGCTTGAGTGTGCTGGTGGTCTCACAGGTGTATGTGTCTATCAAATGGCATCAAATGGTAAATTTCCAACAAGGGCACTTTACTGTACATGAATGATTCAATAAAGTTGATTTTTAAAAAGCTGGGCCTAAATCAAAGGATTGCTATAAAAGTAAACTGAATACTTTCATGTTACATATAATATTATCCAAACAACTTAGTACCCAACATATCTGCAAAAAGGTCAGGAGAATTTGATTTGATGTTTAACTCCCTAATGAAGCCAGAGGAACTAGGGACTCAGCTCACCAGCCGCTCCTTGTAAACCTCATACAGGGTCGCTATGGGTTGGAACTGACTCTACAGCACTTAACAATTCTCTTCTTCAAATGAGATGGGAAATACTGGAGGTATGATTCTGGCTCAGGAAACTGGCATCTACTAGATACTCAAGAAATATCTGTTATTATTTGAATGAATGGACTGAAGTGCTGAGATTCAGCAAATTGCAAAAGATTGAAGGCTCTCCAGAGTCCTCACACTTGGAGTACACAAACTGAGGAAGATTCTTCTTGCTCACTTTAAATCTCTTTTCAGAGAAATACACCCTCCCATACCAAGGAGTGGGTCTCCATGAATCATACTTTATTACTCTAATCAGCCACCCTTGGGTTACTGGATTGCAAAGACACCTGAGTCAAGGAGAGCCAGATGCAATCTTTCCAGAATCTGAGGCTTGGAATTGAGAGGCATGTTGTTGTAAGAAAAGAGTTAGATGAGATTGCTATCATCAGAAAAGCCTACCCAAGAGGTTGCCACTTGGCCGCTGTCTGCTAACTTGGATTTCAGGAGGATTCCCACTTGATGCCTCCCTGTTTGTGATGACATTGAGGTTTCTGCTGAATACCTTTTGGAAGTCTGGAATTTTGCAGAAGGTGCTTATATGAACAGCTCCCAATAACAATACTGAGTTGTTTATGTACAACAAACTTCCTCCCCTGGACAGAAACAGTGCACACATGTTGCTGCATTTTCATCACTTGAGGAAGAGTACACTGTGTGACACCTCATGGGAGGGAGAGGGCAGAAGGAACTATGCAAACTTGGTGCATTTTTCTATTATGATCCAGCTTCTTACGCCACTGGAATAAATCTCAGCCAGTTTACAACTAGAAAACCTTTATTAAACAAAAATATCAAAATGTGAAGCTATTGTTTCTTGACATATCCTCCACCTGTTGTTGTTAAGTATCATCAAGTTGGTTCGGACTCATAGGGACCTTGTGTAGGGTTTCCAAGAAGCAGTTAGTGGGTTTGAACCACCAACTTTGTGGTAAGTAGTCCAGTGCTTATCCTCCAAATAGGTCTATCAAATTCTGAAGGCAGTGCTTTCATCTCTCTAACCCCCTGTCTACACTCTTGGATTCACACCATGTCAAAACATCAGTTTTGGCATCCTTGAGGTATTAAAATCATGTTTTTAAGTATTCTTTGAGTTTGGGGAACAAGAAGTCTGAAGGGGAAAGAGAAAGGCTGTTTGCTGAAGGCCAGGAGACTGGCTTCTAGAATATACCCTGTGGCTGTTTAAGTGATTATATATATCCCTGCATGTTTTTTTCAATACAGGTGCTAGAGGGTACATAGGTGTTGACATGGGTGACAGGGCAAAGCAATATACAACTGGAGGGAGGTCAGCAGAGGAAAGATGGAGGTGTCAGAAGACAGGGGGAGGAATGCAGTGGTTGGAGTGAACAGAGGTAAATGCTCTTAACTATTGGTGCATGGAAGGGATTGCAATAATATAATGAAGCAAAGTATATAATTTGTTGAATGTGAAACTGATGATCTGCTCTGCAAACCTTCGCTCAATTAACAATAAAAAGTTAAAAAAAAAAAAAGCCACATGACTTTGAATTAGAACATTATATTTTGTACAGTAAACTCAGACCTAGGTTATGCAACTGAGTTCATTTTACATCCTTTCTTCCATTCTCATCTCAAACACTCATACATAGCTTCATCAAATATATTTGTTTTGCCATTTCTTTCTTATAATGAACCACACTTTTAAA